CACAAAAGTAGCGCTATTCGTCACTGGTCTGTGAAAGTGCAGATAGAATAATAATAGCATGGATACTAACAAGTAACAATAATGACAAAGATAAAAGTAATAATAATAGCAGCAATAACAATAGCAACAATAAAAATAATAATAATAGTGATGATGATTGATAATGATAATATAAGCAACGAAAAATTTTCCCTAAAAATTATTGTCTGCGTAAAATGATAAAAAAAAAAAGAATTATTTTTGGCATAGATAGTATAAGCAGGAGCAGTGAAGAACCGTCCAAGGTTAAACAAGAGCATATAATAAATAAAAAATGTTTGTTATGTAAGAAATTCACAAAAATATTAGAAAGGAAGAAGAAGCACTTGAAAAGGAATATTTCGGTCTACTTAGTGGTAAATATTGAAAAAACGCTAAATGAAGTAATTCAGCATGATTCCGACTACGGATTTGGTGGACACAGCTAGGATGCCGGTCTGTACGTATACTGTTCGACGTGGCTCAATCACTGGCACAATCGTCTCGTATGCCACTGTTGGCGAATCGGTCTTTCATGTTTGGCAATGTGAAAGTGGTATAAATTCGAATTTCCGGGTAGGGCCAAAAAAACAGAGGAAACTGATGCAAAAGAGGTTTTTCATCGGACTGTGAGGAGAACTCATGACATTTACTTAATACTCGAACAGCTACTAATTAAACTGATACAGTAGGCAATCACCGAACTATCAGCATAAGCTTTCTTTGCTATTATTCAGAAATAGCCACATGGCTAGGGCTTGCTTTTCCCAGCTTCTCAAAAAGTGTTATGAAAAAAATACCGCCAACATTTGCCTATTAGTCCGAAATATTCATTTTCAGGAGCGCTATACTGGGGTACCTAGTTTTAAAAACCTTACATCTCCCTCCTCTATCCCGCTCGGAAATCCGCCATGACCCCTTTTAAGGCTGTTTCAGGTGTGCGCAGTTTGGCTCTACTTTAAGATCTAGAAGTTTCTATTGCAGTCGGGCGAGAGGAGGGGGTGATTTTACAAAGTTATTTAATAAACTGAATTTCAGATATGTTTTCGATGCTGGTACACAGTTGTTTTGTGGACGATGGTAATGGGCATGAGAAGAAGCCACTGATTGATGAGCATGGGTTCGTACTTTCCTCATTTAAATCTACTGAAGACTGAAATGCCCCCACAGAAATCACCTATTTTGCAAGTACTCCCAAGCTGAAACAGTGTGTTTTACTTTTACTTTGAGCACCATCCTTGAACAGCTATGTTTTACCTTTTAGAACTAAATTTGTTAATGTAGC